CAAAAAGAAGTTTGTAAAAAAAAGTAACAAAAGGTCATCAACATTTTCCCAGCCACGGTACTGAGTTGCTGCGCCGGTGCGTTGGGTTGGAACACTTGCACATTTAAGCAACACTGCGTTAACTCATAAAAATTCACTGACTTAGACCTATTTCCTTTTGAGGTGTTCTATCTTCGAACTCTTTTGCACCAGCAATGTCTCCTTTGTTCCTTTCATCTTCCTTCATTCAAAAGCCTGTTTTAAGTCTTCAGACGTGAAAATTCGTTGCCCAAACCCTCCAAATGTGGAGAGCGGACTTACTAATTAAATAATAATTCCTTCGGCTAATGTTGGATTTTCAGGAATATGGAAAGAACGCCTGTACGAAACTCCTAAGTTGCGGCCACATGTGCGGGGGAACCTTTGGAGAAACTCAATGTCTTCCTTGTCTGCACGGGTGCTCAAACAACGCCTCTTTGCGCCAAGACTCTGATGACATGTGTATGATCTGCTTTACTGAAGCCCTATCATGTGCCCCAGCTATTCAGGTGAGTTTCACTACTTCTTAAAACCCAACAGGAATGAGAAATTGGCTCAGAACTGGGCTCAGATGGCAAGTTTCCCAGTGGAGCCATCCAGATGCAAAAGTTGGATTATTCGCACATCAGAACAGGGAATGGTGGAGAACTGCTGAACACCATCAGGGGGATAAAAGTGCACGTAATAAAAGAGCTTTGACTCATAAGCGCAAGGGACATTGAAACGAAGAGACGAAGAGTATGAAACACCTTCTCTGAGCTCTTGCAACATTACGAATCACTTCCACTTGTACTTAATATTTCGCAGATAGCGAACGATATTAAGATGGAATTTGATCGAGTCTAAAGCGATAAGCATACAAGCGGACAGATATTGAAGAGTCACTTGATGCACAACTGTTTACACAGTGATGAAACCAACGCCAGCATAAACAGTTAAATTTCGACCAAAATGTTGTTGATTGCCACTCAGAGATCCGTTTTATTCTCTGCTTAACTCCACCTGGTGAATCTGCAGGGACTAAAGTGGGATTCTAACGGGAAGATGCATGATCTGGAATATCAAAGTCGCTTGATTCATCCTCCGCAGATTTTATTGGCCATTTACAAAGCAGATTAATTTACAGACTTCGTCGTTGGTAGTATGGGTCTGGTTCCACAGTCCACATCATTGGAAAAATCGCATACTTGCAGCTCCACATTGAAATAGAGCCCAACTGAACACTCGAATAGATAAGCGACTCCATGTGAGCATTCGTAGAAAGCAGCACAGTTGTCCGGGTCTTCGTAGATTTTTACATCGTCTTCATCCTCAGTTGCACATTCTGCAAAAAGTCCAAGACACTTGAAATGTTTGGTGGGAAACGTTGGTCGGTTTTACCTGGAACGGCAGCACTTAAGGTCCAGGCAAATGCCACCAAAGTTAATATGAAAAAAAGGCGCTTGATTGCCTTCATTGTTGCTAAACTGGGTTTTTTAGTACTGTTGCATACTTTTTAAGCGCAGCCTTATATACGTGAGTATGGCCGTTATCTTGAGTTTGAGGTCATCGGATCGTTCTGGAAATTCGCATGGATTCAGCAGAATGGCACCGTTAAGTGGCCGTTGTTTACGTGCTTGAAGGTGTTATCTTTATTCGGTTCTTACCTAATGGCCATAAAAAAACCAGAAAAGAGGTTTGGGTTTAGTACATATATTTTCTATTAGGTAGACAAAGATCTCGCATTATTCCAGTCGGTTTTTCACTATCATCTACCGGACCAAGACCGGGCCAGGTTTAGGAAGATCCGTCGTCGGTGGATCTGTGGAAGGTTCAGTTGTAGGTGGTTCAAGGGTGGTTGGTCGGGTTCCACAGTCCACATTCTCCGGCCACTGGCACTTTTTATTCCCATCATAGTACGTTCCGGGTGGACAAGAAAAATGAATGGCACGTCCGTTACTGCACTCATAGTAAGAGTTGCAATCCTCCGGATCTTCTAGAAATTCCGCTTGTCCATCGTCATTTTCCGGACACGCTGGAACATCTATTTTTCATTTGGATTGGAAAACTCAGTTCGTTTGGCTCATCTTACCTGGTTCATCGGCAATAGATAGGCAAATGCACAGGCCTAGAAGGGCGATTCCAAAGAGCGTTCTGTTCATGTCGAAACCCCGAACCTGAACTCTTTTAATACGATCAGATGGTACTTAAATCGTGCCTTGAACGGTCGACTATTTATATCATTGAGATGCTTTATCATTGATATTCGACATTATTTGTAATCTGTTTTATTCATTGATTTTCGACAGTTGGGTTTTACCACGAATTGAATGGTTGATAGTGTAGTCGAAAGTATTAGTTTTTGCCACCATGCTGGAAGTAGACGAGTTTTAGCTCCAATGAGCTTGCAGATCAAAGTCTGGATGGTCTTCGAGTAAACCTGAGGCGTTCATCTTTAAGATATACAGAGTGGTTCGGGCTTTAAATGGCGAGAGGAGAAGCGATCGATTTTGAGGGGTCCTGCCCCCTTTTACTGCCAGAACTTTTTCATGGTGCGCCACTAAAGTTTACCACTTTTTTATTTCTGCACTCAATTTTGAAAGTAGTTTCTTCGCAACTGTCACCGTTTGCGAGTTATTTGCAAAATAATTCATTAACGCAAGGTGATTTTAGTTTGCAAAACATGGAAATGAATCCAGTTTGTTGCACTAACTACGTTCGAAGTTTCGCAATAGATTTTTCAAAAACTGTCCGAATTTTGAAACTTTCTTCTCTCTAGTAGTTTCTTTGCAACTGCCAGCGTTTGGGAGTTATTGGCGAAAAAATCATTAACGCAAGCTGATTTTATTGTTTCTTCTGTTTGTACAGTTTCTTGCACTGACGACGTTCCAAATGTTGAGATAAATGTCCCCAAAACTGTAAGAATTAGACTGTAGAGCAACATAAAACCTCTAGCTTTATCATTAAGTGATTTCATTCGCTTATTTTTCTCGAATATTCGCTATTTTGCTCCAAAGAGAAGCATTTGTGACCACACAGAATATACAGGGTGATTCACGTCTATGGAGAACGCAAAGCACGATTTTTCGGAACATTTGTTCCATAAAGTAATCGGATGAGCTCTATTGACCCATGATAATTTCAGCAGTGCGGCATTGGCGCTTTTATAAAAACTCACTAACAACCACGGAATTTTAAATGGGACACCCGGTATATTCTTGAACCTTTAAAAAGGCCTTATCGATTCATCTACCTGTTTTCTCGCGGTTTCTCAAATTTGAATATTTTTTTTATCAAAACATAGTTCTAGGAAACGCGAGTTTGATACAAAAAAAATAAATTTTTGGCCCCCATTAGGGAATTCTTGAGCTTGAGCTTCAGATGCAGTCAATTGTTTTGGATTTTGCAGGCTTGAAATGAATCATCCAGTTACAAATTAAAACTATTTTTTCAAGAACACCGTGTATATCAGTCCATGTTCGGAAAGGAAATTAATTTCCTTATGAAATGTCTCCAATACCTAAAATGTCAAATTTCCTCAAGAAAATGAAAATGTTTGCGACCGTGCGCTTATTTTGACGTATTTGTCGAAAACAGCCATAAAATGTCATAAGAGATTGCGGTTATGCAATGCGTCAAACCCGTTGACAATTGCCAATAAGCGAAGAAAAACAACTTTGCTTAAATTAATGTTTCTCTCCATCTTATTATTATATGAGAGCACAAACTCTGTCTGAAACTTTGCTGCCTGTCTGGTTTGACGTATTTCAACGCCTGTAACCATTATGACATCTGTTGACTGTCTTCGACAAATACGTCAAATGCATTTTGTGGGAAATTTGACGTTTTAAGTATAGGAACATGACATATCATTTGAAAGGGAATTTGGTAGCCCTGAACATTGACTAATATACCGGGTGCCCCATTGAAAAAATATGTTTTTAAATATTACAAAATTTAAAAATAGTTTTATCTATAGGCGGAAGATCACTAATTTAGTTTTGAGAAAAAAGTTACTAATTTAATATTTCGGAAACTGCTTCAAATCGGTATAGGAATCGTTAAGGAAAAATAGTCAGTTCTATAAGGCCCGACTTTATGGCCATACATGAAGAAGCTCGTGTTCACTCAGTCGAATATTACATGAAATGGTTGAAAAATGATCAATTGCATGAGGTGGAGCAAAAATAGGCCACCTCGATCACCTGACCTAAGCTATAGGGAGTTTTAACTAGCGAGCAGAAGCAAAGGGAGGAGTCCCTATTAACCCAATGAAATCCTTTCCTCAATGTTTAGGAGTTACTAGTTAAAGTTTTTTTTCAGTTACAATGTGGGCATGTATTTCACTTGCACTGCTGCAAGGCGGTTTTGATGAAACGATGGGCTGGACCACGAATTACATTCTCCTTCTCCCTCTGCCCCATATGCAAGGTAAGAACAAATTGGTCGTTTTCACTTTTTATACAGGGCGATTCAACATTCGCTTTGGTGGTGCTGTCTGGAAGTATACAGCGGGTACAGACAAAATATTAAGGATTGGAAATACATAGAGGGAAGTGAGATATTTGCCAAAAACTAAATTAGAAGTTTGACAGCAGTGTATTTGGTATCACCCCCCGAATGGTGGCTTTTTCATTAAGCTCACGTAAAAGATGGGTGGAAAATTGAATAAAAAATGAGTCTTTTACTGATCATAGTAGGAATCGTAGATCAAGGAAGGTAGGCCCAATGTTAAATAAATTCCAGCAGGAAAATCGCCTCCACTATATCAATTGCCTACTTATTAATATCGACACTTCGATCGTTAATAAGCAATAGCTGATACTTCCTGACATTTTCCATTCAAGTGGAAGCGCCAATCATTCGAAATATTCCAATGCGCGTTAATCCCTTTATCGAAAAATCGAGTACTTTTGCAAATTTCCCGGTTCTACTTTTTCCAATACAAAGTAGAAGCCGGTATAAAAAAACGCCATTGTTTACCATGTACTTTAATCCTGAAGCTCGATATCAACCACCCGACCTTGGAGGAGCTTCTAGAGCCGATTAAAGATCTCTACAAGGACGTGCGCCGGAAAGCCTTAATGCGCTTGGAATACGAAGGTCTGCACACTGTTGAGGCGGTGCAGACACCAGGAGCTCGATTCTACAACGATCCGGCCTCCTACGCCATGGACAGATACGCCTACTATGTGTGCTTCAAATGCAATAAGGTGAATGAGTACATGCATACTGCATAGTTGCGTGCATCGGTGATAATTTGTAGGCTTACTATGGAGGGGAAGCGCGTTGTGATGCAGATGCAGGCGATTCGTACGATCCTGCTGAACTGGTATGTGGGGCATGTAGCGATGTGGCTAGGGCTCAGATGTGCCCCAAACATGGGGCCGATTTTCTGGAGTACAAGTGCCGCTATTGTTGTTCAGTGGCCGTTTTCTTCTGCTTTGGTACCACGCACTTTTGCAATCCATGTCACGACGACTTTCAACGGGTCACCATTCTATCCAAAGGAGAGCTGCCTGTTTGTCCTGCCGGTACTTTTTTAGTCTTGCAGGCCAGGATGAAAATGTAGGGGTTTTTTCTCAATTTTCAGGGCCGAGAGCCACTCAGCTTGAGGGCGATGAATGTCCTCTTCACGTTAAACATCCAGCTACAGGTGAAGAATTCGCTTTGGGCTGTGGAGTGTGCAGGAACGCCCACACCTTCTAGGTCCTCTGGACTGGATGCTTGTAAAGCACTAGAAGAGCGTAGAAGAGCTCCTGATTGGAACACTACTTAAGCTTAAGGTTTTACAGTCGTTTTAGTTAAACCCTGCTGAGTTGATCTTTATTGTCACACCACATGTTCCTCAATACTGAATTAACCAAATATAGCTAATTCTAGACTGTTTTCTTTTATTGCGCCACTCTTCAATAGAGTGAGGGGATTTTGGGGGAACATGAAGTTCCACTGGTGTTGGTGGACTTCTTAAGTGTCGAATTCCCCATTTTTTACGCATATCTTTGCACCAAATGTAATTATAATTTTTTCAAAAAATCGGCTCTCAACCTTGGAAACATTTCGACCAAAAATCAAAATTTTACATGCAGGTTTTTTGAGCTCAATCAGTTCCCTTCGACGCAAGAAGGTCACAAATATGCATTTGTAAAGTGTTTGGGTCAATAATAAGGAAGAAATCGTCGGCTGAAGATCGTGAACGCTCAAAAAACGCCTAAAATGTGCCGAAAATGTCTATTATTTCGGATCTGAAACTTCTACCAAGTTTTTCAATGAGTTCGATGCATTCTTCGCTTCCGTGAGCTGAAAATGATGTAAAATTTAAGACATTTTAAGAAAATTTTCATTTTTCAAAAAATCGGCCTCTACCCTTTGAAAAGTTTCGGCAAAAAATCAAAATTTCAGATGCAGGGTTTTTGAGCTCAATCGATTCCTTTCGACGCAAGAATGTCACAAATATGCATTTTAAAGTGTTTGCATCAATAATAAGGAATAAATCGTCGACTGAAGATCGTAAACGCTGAAAAACCGCTTAAAATGTGCCGAAAATGTCTATTATTTCGGATCTGAAACTTCTACCAAGTTTTTCAATGAGTTCGATGCATTTTTCGCTTCCGTGAGCTGAAAATGATGTAAAATTTAGGACATTTAAAAAAAAAATAAATTTTTTTAAAACATCGACCACCACCCTTGGGAAAATTTCAACCAAAAATCAAAATTTTACATGCGTGTTTTTTGAGCTGAATTGGTTCCTTTCGACGCAAGAAGGTCACAAATATGCATTTATAAAGTGTTTGAGTTAATAATAAGGAAGAAATCGTCGGATAAAGATCGAGAACGTTCAAAAAAAGCTTAAAATGTGTCGAAAATGTCTATTAGCGTTACTTATTATTATTACAGCCTTACAGTTCCTACCAGTAGGTAGAGAATTAAAAATCACATTTACAAAGTGAAAGTTGAGTTCCAGATAAAAGCGGATTTTCCGCAAAAACTAAAAAATCAGGTTCAAAGTCTTCAAACATAACGCCACCTTTTTGCTAATCGCGACAAGAACCATTTGACTACCGGTGCTAGTTTCTCTACAGATAAATAAATAATTAAAAATCTCATTCAGCGACTAAAATTTTTATTACAAAATAGCGTTTTCCTTCAAAAAGCGAAACATACAGGTCTAAGAGAATATTATCGTGTCCGAACATGACGCCACCTTTTTGCTCATAACTCAAGAACAGTTTCAGCCCAAGCACACATTTTTCAACCTCTTGATAGAGAATTAAAATTTTCATTCACTAAGAAAAACTTGAGTTAGGAAATAGTAGCGGTTTTGACACAAATAGCGAAACATTTCGGCCCGTTATAAAGCCATCGTTTGCAAACATGACGACACGTTTTTGCTCATCACTTAAGAACCATTTAAGCTACGGGGCTCGTTGAACCACCAGTTGATAGAGAATTAAAATTCCCATTCACGAAGTGAAACTTGAGTTAAGAAATACTTACGGTTCTACGAAAAGAGAAACATTCAGGTACAAAATAAGCCCACCGTTTCCGAACATGTCGCCACTCTTTTGCTCATATCTCAGCCACAAAGCGAGCCAGCGCCCTCATTTCTACACCACTGGATAGAGAATTCAATAGCAAATTTTGTGCTCAAACCCCGCTAGGAAAAAAGTAGCAGTTTTATTTTATTAATATTTTTTCAAGTACGCACTGTACAGCGGGCACAGAGCACGCACAATCGCCCCCAGCGCCATCTACCAACACAAGCCTGCTCTTCTCTGAAATTAAATATCCGATGATTAACCCACAGAACATACCCCCAGGGGGGATATTTTGTGGATTAACCTCACTTTGCCATTTTCTAAAAATGTCAATTTCATGTGCTCAAATTATTTATTTTCGTCTCTAAACCGTTTTACAACCGAGTTGCCGTGAACATCGTTAGGTAATTGCCTGTTTAGACATCAGCCTCTTTAAAATGCCTCGCAGAAACAACGAAAGAAGAGCAGCCAAAAGACAACATGAAGGGGAAGATGAGGCTACCACGAGCAAACGAATCAATGTTGAGTCGCCCCTGCATCCGGCCCTTAAACCGAAAGCCGGTAATTTGGCAGCAAATAGATTAACTGCACTTCGGAAACGGCTATGCGACACTTTGGCGCCAGCATCAGAGAAACCGGCGAAGCCTTTCCAAGGCACTTCTAGTTCTGTGTGTGCAGGTGGAACAATCAGCCCTAAAGAGCAATTCACAAAGTATCCTTTGGAAACCGCAATTAAGAGGCTCGAAAACAGTCGCAGAAAACTTAATGGAACAGTTATAGTTATAGACGATAGTCCTTCGCCAGCCAAAGACAAACACAAGGCACAGTTTGAGTATGTGAATAAAGCGAAATCTTTAAAATTGTTTAATCCATTCCTTGTAGCTCACCTCAGGGCTTTATTGTGCTGTCCGAAGCCGAGGACAGTGTTCGCAACGAAACGCCCCTAGTATCAGCCAATGAAAGATTAAGAAAATTCAGAAGCAATTCCCTCAGCTTAAGCCCAACGTCCAGCTCCAAAACGTTGACTCCCGATAGTGGAGAAAAGCTCAACAGGTAGGGATCAATGGGATGACAAACCAAGTAATCTTCAATGCCTTTAATCCATTTTCAGTTCAGTTGTCTACGTTAAAACCTCTAGAGCAACGATTATACCAAAAGCTAATCTGTTTAAGAGTCCGAAACATGCTGATGTGGTTAATGGAAGGGCGACTGATGTGGAAGTAAGTAGGAACATTGAAACGAATTTGTTTTTAAATGGCATGCCGTTCTCTCAAAACTGAATCTCCAACTTGACTGGTTTCTGAGAAAACAAATAAGTACCAAACAGCCATACATAAGCAACCACAAAATTTTACTACAAACTTGCAAAACATCTAAAAAATAGTCTAATTTTGACTCAAAATTGAAACGTTTATTTCAAATAGAACGCACTTTGCCCTACGAAATACACCCCAAAGGGAATTTCCAACTTTACTGGTTTCTGGGAAAATAAGGCCAAACTTAGGACTGCATAAACAAGTGTAAAATACAAGCCAAATTAGACAAAAATCTTAATGGCTAAACCAGTTGAGTTTCAACAGCTTTTGTGACCGCAATCGAAAGAGGACATTTCCCTGTATGTTAACTCAAAATTTGATTTCTCTATTGTTTGGGGCTGAATTTTGACAATTACTCAAAGTGAGACTTGCATCGACTTTTGTGACTAAATTTACCCGCCGTTTTTCAAAAATTGTTTTTCACCAAACCAGTCGAGATTAAAGGACGCCTTTTACGCCAGTAAATAAAAAAAACTTCGCTCCCTACTTTCGCAAAGTTTGGTTTCGTTGGGTTTGTTCGATGAATTTTGAGAGTTTCTCCAAGTCAGGCTTGTATTAGCTTTTGCGAATAAATTTACCTCCGGTGTTTCAAAAATTCTTTATGTCCAAACCAGTTGAGTTTCAACAGCTTTTGTCACCGCAATCAAAAGAGGACATTTTCCTGTATGTTAACTGAAAATTTGATTTCTCTCTCGTTTGGGGCTGAATTTTGACAATTACTCAAAGTGAGACTTGCATCGACTTTTGTGACTAAATTTACCCGCCGTTTTTCAAAAATTGTTTTTCACCAAAC